CTACCTGCAGCGTATATGGAATGGTTCAACCATTGACTTGAGTCTAGGGCTTACTTATTCCATGCTTTGTCTTGAGATGCTCAGGATGCCTTAGTTGGAGAGTACCTGTGAAAATTTGTGGTTCATTCTTCAGGTAACTCGGTGATCCATAGTTTTCTTTTCGTGCTTTTTGGCTGATGCTTCTGTGTGCTGCTACGGAGCCTTAATTCCAAGCCAGGAGCATTATATTTCTTAGAAATGTCATTAAGGCCATAGTGCTTGTTCTGCAAGCATTTCCCTCCACCTTGTCCCTGACTTCAGGTGGGCTGAAATATGAAATTCATAATTTTTGTATTTTCACCCTACGGCTATTTTTCACCATAGCTGTGAGTTACGCATTTCTTTTTAAATTCCCGCTTAGATGCATATGCATTTACCAGACTCTATAATTATTTTTAAGTAACCTGAAATGGTGCCAGTGTTCTCCTCAGCATTGTAGTAATCCTGTCCATATCTTGTGGAATGGATTTCTGCCATAAACATAACCTGGTGAAATGTTGCATCCTGATTTAAGAAGCCTTTTATCATTTGTGTTCAGAGGAATACTTTGGAATAATGAAAAACAAATGCCTATATAAAGTACAGAAGCTCCCATTTTTTTCTTGTGCTGGATTATTAGAACATTAGCAAAGTTTTGTAGGGAGGAATTGAAGTGTCATAGCTTGAGGTGGCATCTGGCAACACATACGGACATCGCTTTTCTGAAAAATCAGAGTTCAGGACTTGTAAGTGTGATTCTGCTCCCAATTAAGATCATTTTTATTTTCATAACTGATTTGCCAGATCTTTTGCACTGCCATTAATCTAGGGGGAGCGGAGTTAGGAGATCGGGGGAAGAGCGGATCGGAGCCGGGGGTGAGCTTGGGGGCTTTTTTCAGGGCACCTGGACTACTTTTAAGGCCTGTCAGGCTGCGCTCAGCAGATTTGTATTCCCAGGGTGGTATATTTTTCAGAAAAGATCCGGTTCTGTTGTGTGAATCTTTGCATCAGAACATTTCCTATGGTAATTTATCAATTTTTTTCTTGGACTGGACTTAGATGTGAATTTTTAAATGAAACTTGCAGTGGCTTTCCATTTTGCTGATTTGCATATTGCATGGAACAGGACTTAATGGATCTGATAAATGCCTCTTTCTGAGGCAATCTTGAAGCCTGTAGCTTGGCAAATAGAGGCCTCTACTAGGTAGCCTCATTCCTAGCATCAGGATTGCTATTTGGTGTGTATTTTTACCTGTGTGTAAGCAGCTTTGCAGGAAGGAGGGAAGAATATACTCAGTGGGAAGCACAGTGCTCAACCGGCCGACCCTTCTATGGCTGAGGATGGTCTGAGTCCTGGGTGGGTGGATCGAGGCCTTTGAGTCTGCTTTGAGGTGAAGCGGCTTCTGTGTAGGGCTAAAAGCCGGGTTAAGACGGCTCTGTCCTGTCACCTGGGCCTGCCTTGCAGGGCCTCTGAGACAGGTAGCTCTCCAGGCTATCGGCTCTGTTTGCTCAGAACTGGAAAGGTTTGGTCTGAGTTTCTAGTTTGTGGCTGATTTTGCTTTTCCAGCAGTGGCTAAATGACAAAACTGAGCAGAATCATTGCAAGCTTTTAAATTTTATTACTGCTCCATTATTCCCAAAATTTGGCAGAAAGAGCATCTGCTTGTCTGTTGAGGGTAGCTGAGGCCAAACTGGCTTGGAGTCTCTGAGGCTTCTTTCGTAGCATCCTAGTGGGAGCCTGTGGCTGTAACAGACCCAGGTTTTCTTAAGTAGCACGTTGGCATCATCATCAGCGCAGGTTTAAGGCAGCAGCATTAGTCTTTGAGGAGACTCTGCAAGAGATTTAGCCAGGTAATGTTCAACTGCTGAAATAGAGCCACCATTTGGGGGAGGAGGGCCCTAGTTCCCCCTTCAGAAGGGTACCTTTCTCATCATAAATATGTGTGATAGTAAGAGTAGAGCATTTCGTCCTGTTCCTCTGGTTTAAGTCCGGTTCCTGAGCACCACGGCACCACGTCATCTCCAGTGCAGAGGCAAAGTGGCACACAGCAAGAACAGAAAAAAAAGGTTCTTCCATGGAAGCAAAAGATGCAATCATGGTAATAAATTAGCAGCTAAAATGTTGTTAAGCTTCAGGGGAAAGAACCCCAGCAACCATGGTTGAGAGACTTCCTGTGGCAGAAGCTCTTGGCAGCTTCCCCAAGAAGTTCGGAGAAGGAAACTGGTTCCCCTTGAAAGGAGCAAAGGCCGGGGAGAGACCACTTTGTGGAGAACGTCAGCTGATCGCCCAACGTAGAGGAAATCTCACAGGGCTTTGCTAGACCACCTGTGTGGGTTGTATCGTGGCCTTTGTCACTTTCATTACCCCTTTGTCAGGTTCCTGCTTGGCCTTCATTCACTGCATTCATCCAGGTCTCAGGTGGGACGGCCGGAAGAGCCTGTGCACAGAGGGTGAGCTTAAACCTCCGTGGATCTGGGTGGCCTCTGTGCTCACTGGCTGGTGCATTTTCAGATGAGAATGTCCTGATGATTTGGGCAAAGCAAAAGCCCCCTTTTTCTTTGAGGAAGCCCAAGAGGTCATATTAGTTTTTGATGGATGGTCACGAAGGGTACAGGCCAAGAACTGGCAGTTTCTGTAGCTTATCAAGTGAGCGGGTCAATGATTGCCCAGGGATGTTCCTTGATTTATCTTAACTTGAGAAAATTCTAAAAGGCAAACCTGTTTAATTAGGAGAACTTTTAAAATGATAAAAGAAAGCATCTCTGTATGTTTTTACCATCTCTGTAAAAGAGAAATCTTCATAAAGGAATGGAAAGAAATATCTACAGTTGTAATTTTTTTTTCTGCTTTGTGTATTTCTGTAAGATTTCAGAATTGTGCTGATACACTGAATATAACCTACAAACTTTTAATTTAAAAATTTATGCCAGGTGGAAATTTATGAAATATTTTAGCATGAAAGGGAACCTTTTTCCCCTTAGGAAAATTAAACAATAAATCACCCAGCTTTCCATTTATCGCCCTAAGGCTGGCCATAGATAGCCTCCGTTCCCCTACATTGTTCTGGAAAAAAATATAATTGTATAAGACAGCAGCTTAGCTTCTATCCTCCCACTCTCTAGAATTTTTAATTTCAGCTGTTTCTGCTTGGATTTATTTCCAATATTCCTGCTTGGCTTTTCAATTTCCTCAGTTATTAAATTTTAATTCAGTGCATTAGCATTTAAATTAAAAAGGAGGTTATTTTATCGAACTCCCTCTCCCTGAAATGGCCTGTTTCTGCCATAGATGTCCCCCCCCCTCCGAAATGCAGCCAATCTCTTCTAATCTAATGCCCATTTGTGCAAATTCATAGGGGGTGGGGTGGGGGGGGGGATCCAAGGTCTGAAATAATGCTGTTTTTGAGGAAAGCCTTTTTCTGATTTTTTTTTTAAATGGGCATTCTCAAATTTTTATTCTTAAAAAGGTAGGGGGAAATTTAAATTGTAAGTATTTGAAACTGTAGTTTTATCGAAGAGGCTGGATTTAAAGAAGGGTTTGGACTTTCTGAATTCCAGGGAATGTTCCAGTTTGGCTGGGGGGGGGGGGGAAGAACCAATGATTCTACTGGTTATGCTGGTGCGTTCACAGATTTCTGCCCTTAATGGCACATGAGCTTCCATATATAAATTATTCCGCTCCAGAAACACTGAAAGTTTTCTGCATAGAATTTTTCCTTGTGGCATGGTTTTCTTCCGTTTTCCTGTTTGTCCAGATGGATCTGTGGGGATGGGGGTGTGGTGGAGAATGTTGCTCTGGAAGATTCCAGAGGCTACAAGGAAACTTGTGTGACTGTCCCTTTGAAGGTCATTGGGGATCCTGTCCTTGGCCCCTGCCTCTTTCACCCGACCTGTCCGCACAACGCAGGCTGTGGAGTCTTGACCCCAGAGCCGCTGGGTACCACCCACCTGATCTGCTCCTCTGTTGTGGTGGCTGCTGTGGGCAGCCTCTCGCGTGGGGCAGGAAGTTCCTGCAGTTCCCTGGTCTTTGGAGGATCTTAGGAGGAAGAGCGAACGTCTCCAAGCTGAGCTCAGATGCGGGACCTTAGCTGTGCAGCTTTTTTCTTGGCAGCGATGCAGAAGTGATTACTTTCAAAATTTTCCCAAATTAATCCTGGTGTTTCCTAGTGGTGACCCAGCTCTACCCTTGCCTACCTATCATAGTTGGTGGTATGTGTGCCTGAAGGCAGAAATCACAGCAAAACTAGACAAGGGGCATTTCTTGCTCTTTGGAAGTCAACCTGTGAGACACGGCGGCTGTGAGGTCCCTGTACAATTTCTCTCTTTCGCAAGTGACCTTCTCTCCCTGCAGCTTGGCATTGCCTCCCTTTTAGGCAGCCCCAGTCGGTTCGCCTCCCTTTGTTGACCTAGCAGGTAGCTGGCCCTTACTCCCTCCCTGCCTGCCTGCCCCATAGCAGGGGAAGTGATTGGGGGGGGGGGAGCAGCACATACTCTGGTTTTATCAGGTACTCTCCCTCTCCTCCTCCTTTTCCCTTTGGGAAAGCCATCCATCCAGGAAAGTGATGGAAAGAGATGGAAAGGAAATGAAAGGAAAGCATAAAGTTAATCTATGGAACTCACTGACACAAGATGTAGCGGTGACCATAAGCTTGAATGGATTGAAAAGACTGGAAAGATGATTGGAGAAATGTGGGGTGGGCTCTTAGGCTGGAGCCCCAGCGATACTTTTGCATTCAGGTTGAAATGGAAGAATGGAAGGAAGCAGCTGGGGTTCTGGAGCAGGTGGTTTTTCCTAGTTTCCGACATTTTAAAAAGCGGTTTCCTCGGGACTCTGGGGACCGTGTTACGGAAGGCCACTCTTTGGGGAGGGAGCGGACGTTAATTTGTGTGACGTATGCTTTGAGTTCATTGCCTTATTCCAAGCCCCTTGTGGGCTGCTTCTGCAGAGCTCTGACCTTCCTCTCTGGCTGCTTCCCTTCTAGGCTGAGGGCAGCAGCAATGGCAGCGGCGGCGGTGGCAATGTTGGGACCAGGGCCTCTGTGGGCAGGTAGGTCCCTCTTGGGAGCACCGGGCGACTTCAGTTCTCTGGACCAGGCCTCGGCTGCCCTTGGAGAGGCTGGAGTTGCCCTCCACCATTTGCTGTGCTTTGGTCTGGAGCTTGTGACCTGCGCCAGGCCCGTCAGCTTCTCTGGCGGGAACTCACCCCCCCCCCATCTCTCCATGGGGTGGAGAGCCACTCCAAATCATGGGACCTTATCCTGTCCCAAACATGACTGAAAAAATAGGGGTTTCCCGTTCAAGAGAAAAGGAACCTTAAAAGTTGACTGAAAGGCTTAAGAGGTTATTTCTGTCTCCCTGGTGCTTCTCTCTGCCCCCCCCCCTCCATTTTGCTATTTGTTTCCTACTTGACTGTTACTTCTGTCTCTCTCAGCATCTGCAATTAATGTGGTGGTGGGGGAGGGAGAGTTTGCCAATAGTTTGCTTTTAGGGTTCCAAATAATATTTGCTGCTATTCTCTGCCCAGCTTGATGTTTTTCAAAATGTTTGGTAATTCTTTAGAATTAGGTTGTTGGGCATTCAACAATATTGTGAGCTGCTTAAGAGGGGAGTAGCACATGTTATTAAATTAATTAAACACTCCTTACACTTTGCAGAAGAGGCAGCCTTCCTTTTCTGTTGGCCTATGGCTGTGAATCATGGAAGGTGTGGACATTCCCAAGTGAGTCCATCTGAAGAGCATTCAAAAGTTTTTAGTTAACCAAATACAGTGACCAAGGCGATTGTTTAGCCTACAAGGCTATTTGTTTTAAAATACCCCCCACCCCCCTCATCTGTAGAAGTATTTCCCTTATACATAAATTCAGGGCATGCAGAGTCATAAAGCCCTAAGCTGAATAGACAGTGTTTTCCCTGGGTGCCTTCAGTAGCTCTTTGAGGCTTAGAGTTCTGTTTTTCTCCCCATCCAAGAGAGCGCTTGAAGAGGACCCAGAAAATTATGAAAGCAGAAGGTTGCGATTCATCCAGGCCCCAAGCATCTCCTAGCGAGGATGCCGCAGCAACGACGGAAGTGAAGGTGAAGACGGAAGTCCCAGATGACTACATTCAGCAGGTGGTCTGGCAGGATGATCCCAAAGAGCCGAAGAAGAAAGGTGGTGGGGTAGCCGAGGTGCCTGCAGAAATTTGTGTGGTGATTGGTGGGGTCCGCAACCAGCAGACTCTCGGTAAGCTAGGTCGGTGGTCCATTGGCTTAACCTTTTCTTGCCAGGGACGGGTCGTGGTCCATGGAGGGGGAGGGGCTTTGAGTTTACTAGCTAAGGAGGCTCTTCTTGATTGAGGGTGATTCAAGCAATAAGCATGTAGAGAAACCCTTTGGAAAGAACAGGGCAGGCCCTGCATGCTGGCTAACTGCTGTTTCCAGGTTGAGAAAATAATCAGTCAATCCAGATCTAATCTATTAATCAGTTAAATTGCATTAACTGTGTTTGCCTTAAAATGGTAAGTGGGGAGAAAACACATTTCCTTTCTGTGAAAATCACAGCAGACATCATCCCAAAAGAGGCATTCCTTGCTATATGAGAGGAAGAGAAGAGGTTTGGGGCAATGGGAATATATTAGAGGCACATAAAACCTTACATGATGTAGAAAATAAAATTCATCTTCCCTTCCTTTTTGACCACATTAAGAATCAAGGTCATCTATTAAACACAAGGCAATTCAGGAGCAACAAAGGAGATGACTCTTGTATCTAATGGGAATGCATTGGCTATGGCTATGCTGACTAACAACTAATCTGGACACTTTTAAGAAGAAGAAACTAAATAAACAGAGAGCAGATGTGTGTGTGTGTGTGGGGGGGGGCTTGATAGCAGCCTGGTCTTAATGGCTCTAGTTGGAATCTTTGTAGCACCAAGCATGCCCTTCATCAGTGAATATGAATATATATATATATATATATATATATATATATATATATATATATATATATATAAAAACTGCTCCTCAGTTGGGTGCATTCAGGAGTGAGGAAAAGGTTCAGGGTTGTTCCAGAGGAACCCTTTTCCCCACGAGTCCCTTGAAAGTCACTCCAGTTCCTTTCTGGATGAGGAAAAAAAGAGACAAACGCAAGGAGGTGGGGGCGTGCATGAAAGAATTTGGATAGGCCCGTGTCCTAGAACAAAGAATTGAGCGGCTCTTTCCTAAAGCCAGGGTGACGCGGAGAGGCCGCTGAGGAGGGCGTGCTTTCCCTTGGCGCTGCACAAGTGGGAGGGCTTTGCAAAGGATCCCGCCACACCGGCAGACGAGAGGAGCTGCTGGGTCTCCCGTGAGCTGCCTCCAAATAGAGGACAGTTGGCACTGCCCAAAGGACAAAAAGAAATATTCTTTTGCACAATTAACGTATAGATTTCATGGTTACAAGACACACGTGACATGACCCTCCAGAGGTATTAATCAGCTGCTCTGGAAAACAAGATGCTTCTTTTTTTCTGGGTGTCTGCAGCCAGGACTTGGGTCTGAATACCTCTTAATGTCCTTCAGCAACAGGACAGTTGCAGGCAGAATAAGACTAGCAGCTTCATGTTTAAAAGTGGTTCACCTTGGATCCAGTCTCTGTACAGATTCCTCGTGGGTTTATGTGGACAATATAACACTAGAGTTGAGATGTCTCCAGGAGACAGACACACTTTGGCATTTAAAATAAATACTCTTGGGAATTGGGTAACTCTAGCCCAGAAGAGTTTCCTTCTGTAGCATCTTAGATGATTCTGGGTGCACCTAATTGAAAGATATATTCATGTCTTTTATTTTTTCTTGAAAGAAAAATAACAGCAGAAAAAGTGGAACAAGAGGGAAGGGGGTCCCACTCACACAATATTTGGAGATGAGGGCAAACGGTTGCTTTGTAGAATTGCTCCCTGTCTTCTTAAAGGAAACAGATGCTGAATTTTTCAGGCAGTAATTTATTTTGGCTGCCACAACTGGAAAAGAGATTTCTATATCTTTTGTCCTGCACAAAAAGCTTTCTCACTGGCACTCTCTTGGTGGCCAGAAAGCCTGTGGGTTCCTCTGGGGGAAGGGGAGGGGGAGAGGGTCAGGGGTCGGGGTCCCCAGCTGAGCCAGGCTGTCCTGTAGTTTATGCCATCCTAACCTGACCTGGGACTTTCTGACTCTGCCTTTGTTGGGTGGGCTGGCTAGACATGAGGCCTTGCTTAGGCTGCATTGCTTTCAGCCACGGTTGCCATCCTAGATTTTCCTTTTGATAGCTTGGAGAGGAAGGAGCAGAGATGTGTGTTTGTGTGTGTGTGTGTGTGTGTGTGTGTGTATATGTGTGTGTGTGTGTATGTTGGTATGGAGGAAGGTTCTTTTTGCTGCACATGAGCGCCCCCTTCTGCTACAGTGGTGGAGGTGTGGACCCGTGGTTGGGCGATCTGAAGCTTTGCAAACAGGGTGGCGAATAGAGCTTCCCTCCCCGTATTTTCCAAAGTTTGCCACTCTGTGGTTTATTCTGGATGAGGCAGTTATGGCCAGCCAAGGGCTTTTGAAGGGGGCTCGGGTGAGAGAGGGAGCTGGTCCCAACAGCTGCCTCGGCAGACCCCAGTTTGGGCTCTTTGGGCATGTCAGCAATTGATGGTACTTGATATTACGAATTACTGTCTGTCTCTGTTTACAGCTGCTCCAATGTTTCTGTGTGATCTTTTTTCTTTCAGGGTCCTATGAGTGCGGAATATGTGGAAAGAAATATAAGTACTACAATTGTTTCCAGACCCACGTTCGAGCGCACAGAGGTATTGATCTGTTGTGCACTACTGAGGGATTCTGGGAGTAGTTAAGAACTGTGGGAGGGAAGAATTGTTCCTGAGATACTATTTGCATTCACAAATTGGGGTTTCCGGGATTTTGTCCAGTCACAGCCGTGCTTGAATGCCACAGTCAGATTGATATCTTTAGGCAAATCAGAGAAATGTGCTACAGATTATTGAATTTAGTATCCATTCAGAATACTCAACAAAATAACTGTGTGTGTGGGGAGGGGAGGCAGAAGACACAAGGCAGTCACACATTGTATGTTCATGGAGGGGGTTTACGTTGCACCTCTGAGTGCTGCAAAGAACAAGCTGCAAGAATGGCTGTTGCTCCCCTTCCTCTGCCAGCATAAAGCCAGTAGTGGCTTGGATGGGCCTCCAGCCCTGAAGGGGATGCCTGTAACCCCTTGGATGGGGGAGGCCTTCATGCACAGCTTCACTTCTCTTGGCTGTCTGCTTCACTGCAGAAGGTTAAATGCCACCAAGGACAGAAAGACCCCCACCCCCCAAATTGTAAAAGTTAAAATGTTGCAATGAGACACGAGGCTCTGCCACCTTCATGCGCCAAATTTCAAATCAAGGACACAGATTTACCTGGCCTATTTTACGTAATTCTGCCTTGCCTTCTGGGTTTGCTTAACGTGGAGGGAGGGGATTTGGATGGCAACCGGTGTGCCCTTGGAACTGTACTGACAAGCGAGGGGCTCTGCCCAAGATGAGGATCTTCAGGCTATTTTGTCTCAAACAGACACGTTTCTTTGGCATCAGATCTGGGAAGGAGGCCTTGCGACCTCAAGCCTGTAAACAGAGACGAGGATGGGAGGGTGCTTATTCCTGGGAATACATTCTCAATGCGGTTCTTCTCTTCGCCTAGACACAGAAGCAGCATCAGGCGAAGGAGCCTCCCCTGGGAGTAAGTATCGGCACGCTTCTTGAGTAGTGTGGAGTGATGCTTTGCGAGCAAAAGGTCCCGGTTCCAGGTTCTGGAAAAGGAGAGGGAAGCCCTCTGTGTGCCCAGGAGACCAGAGAGCTGCTGCCAGTCAGGGTCCTGAGGGGTCGGCTGTCGCCACTCTGCTGCAGAGGAGCCTTGAGGGGCCAGTGGGGAACACCCTCCTCTCGCTACCAGTTGGCCGGTGTGAGCCGCTGTGCTGTGGCACCATATGCTGGTGAAGAAGAGGCCCCATCATTTGGCAGCTTTGTCTCATTTTGCCCCCATGCTGACCTTCTCTTCCACCGCCTGCTCTCTTTGCTTTTTATTTTTTGCTAAATTGTTTTCTGCATTGGAAAAAATACTCTTAACAAAGGAAGGAAACAATCTTGTCAATTGGGATATCGTGAAGCCGGTGGTCTAGCTTTCCTTACATTGGATCCTCTGATCCATCTGAATACTGTTAGGGATGGTATCACCCCAAGGATGGGGGGTTATCTCTATCACTGCATTCCCCCTCCCCCCCCCCGTATCAAAACAGAACAAGAAAATGCTGCTTTCCTTGATTTGGAACATGATTTTCTCTCCTCCAAAACTCCTTGGTGCCAAAAGTTTTGAGTCCCCAAGACGGTTCCATCCTTTGCTCAAGATCAGTGCTTTCAGGGCCTTTGTTGGGATTGAGGTGCGCTAAGGGCAGAGAGCGGCCAGAGGCGAGAGTGTTGGTCAAAAGCTGGTAGAGGGTCTGTGCATGGGGAAGCCATCCTGGGTTCTCCTTGGAGTTTCTCGAACATTGTGCTCTTTCCTCCCCACAGATAACTTTAGGTACACGTGTGACATTTGTGGGAAGAAGTACAAATACTACAGTTGCTTCCAAGAGCACAGAGACCTGCATGCAGTGGATGGTGAGTGTCAATGTCTGGATTGCTTGCTGAGAAGAGGAGGGTCTTCGTTCTTACAGAATGCTCAGCAGGAGCTCAGTCAGCCTTCGCTCCTACCCTCCAAATGAAGTTGCAGGAGTTGGGAAATATTAATGGCTAAGCTCAAACAGCGGCTGATCAGAACAAGCCAGGATTACCATTTAACCCTGGTGTTTCCAGAAAATCTTAACTTAAGCCAAATGGGGCTTGAATGTAAGAGTTGCTCAAAGAAAGGAGTAGAGCTTCCCACCTGCTCCCAAGGAAAGGGAAAGGAGGCAAAGGGGCAGGCAAGTCTGCAGGCTCCCACGCCCGTTCTCAGGACCTTTAGTTATTGCTTAGAGCTTTTAGCAGGTAACCCAGACCTGTATTTTATGGAAAGAAATTGGGGAGGGGAGCTCTTGTGTAGGACTTTTGACACCATTGTGTGGTGCCAAACAACAAAATCCAAGGGAAACCATTAGAATTTTGTTGTTATTGTTGTTGTTGTTATTGTGTGTGTTTCTCTATATGTACCCAGCTAGTTTAGAGGCATAATACCATACAACTTTTGGCAATAAAGTTGCCACCAATAGAAACGTCTGGTTAAATGATTGCAACACTTTAGGAAGACTTGGACGGAGGAGCAGTTGGGCGAACGCTCAATGGGTGGAGGATGGAGCAGTCTCGAGCCCCTGCAGGTGTGTGCAGGGATTAATCTACTCAGTTGGGAGTTAGAATGTCTGTTCGGTCGATAGGGAGAGTCTTGGGGCATCTTGGTATATAGGTAGGCTAGTTGTGTTGTTTTTTGGAACTGTTCTGACTCTTGTAAGAATGACTGCAGTTCTTTGCAATTAAGTTGCACTTTAAAAAGAAATAGTGCAAATTTTATATCTTGAGTTGGATACATGAAGCTTACAATTAGTCACTTTAATAAGCAGATTATCAAAAAAAAGATAATCAGTAAAAATACTATGCATGTAAAATGTACATTAGTCTATAAAAATCATGACCACAATAGCGTGTTGGTTCTTTTATTGTTCTTTTTGTGTGTACTCTGTCCAGTGTTTTCCTGCCCAAGTTTTAAAAAGGTTTAATAGAAAGCTTCAGAGAGGAGCGAGCTACAGTGTTGCTTATGTTGACTTGATCCAGCTTCTTACTCTCTGCGGAAGGCGAGGGCAGCCCACGGCAGCGGAGGAGAGCAGGGCTCTCTCGAGGGCTGAAGCCACCTGCCTCGATCAGCTCCCCCCTCCTTCTCTCCCCTTGCAGACCCCTACGACCAAGCAATGATTGCCAAGGAGGAGGTGAAAGAAGAGGAGCCCGAGCCCTTTCAGAAGATTGGTCCAAGTATGATTTACCGAGTTTGCAACTGAAGTAATTCTGGCTTTCAGTGTCTCAGAGCTGAGGTTTCAGGCCAGGGACGGAGAGGTTCCCGCAGAGGCAGGAAGCGCTCGCTTGTCCAACAGAAAGAGCACATTCTTTGCCTGTGCGGGAGCCCCGCTTCCGCTTCCCTTGGCGTGGCTGGTGACAGACCGGAAAATCTTCCTTGGATGTATCTTTCATTGGGGTTCGTTTAAGAAGCACCAACAGCAACTCCTGGATTTCCCAGGGCGGCATGGCTCCCAGCATGCCTGAAAGCTACTTGGTGTCAGGTCTGCTCGTTGGTCCATCTGTCCTACAACTATTGGCACTGACTGGCTGCAGGGCTCTGAACATCCGTTCAGGCAGAGGGGTGTTTCCCAGCCCTTCCCTGGAAATGCAGGGGTGAACCTGGACCTTTTGCACGCAAAGCAACGGCTCTGACTCGGACTGTGGCCGTTCGGCGGGAGACAAGCAATCTGCTTGCAAATAGCGCTGCTAAGTAAACAGAAATTTAATTTTCCATGTTCGAGTTAGAGAAGAAACAAACACGTTGATTTGGGGAATGATAAAAATATTCTTGCTTAATGTTACATACTTGTATAAGCATCTGGTTAAAAACAATCCAATTTGCCCAAAGTATTTACATGTAAATATTTTATTGCAAAGAGAAGGAATTAAGTGCATGTTATTTATTTTAATCATTAGATTCAGACATATGCAAAACATTACTTGCAAAACATTCCACTTGCATTTCCCATGACTTAATTTTAGAATTCACAAAGCTCTTCATTAAAGGGGAAGATATTGTCTAAGTATTGTCCTCTGGGATAAAAAAAAGTCAGTTACAATTTTGCAGTGTTCTAATTCGACTGCTGCTGCATTCCTTATTATGTTACCAACTTTTCTTCCGGAATAGAGGGAAATTGAGGTTGGGGAGCAATATTAAAACTAGAAATTCATCTTGATGTAAAATGATAACTACCCCGCTGATGAGAGAGCGGCTCGGCCTTTCCTGTCTGCCATGGTTTATACAGCCCACTCCCAAATGCTGCTTCTGCAAAAGGGAGATTGCTGAGTCTTGCCTCTGTAGCAGCCATGTCTTTTCAGCCTCTCCCCAGGAAGGGGGGGGGGTGCCCAGAGGCCCATTTGGTCAGGAGAGCTCGGGACTCACCTTACGAGGCCATGTGTGGAATGTCCACCCTACTGTGATCTAAACTGAGATCCATGTTTGTTTGGGTCAAGGGTTTGGGGGAAAATCTTTTCTCCTTCCAAAAATGGTTCTCTTGCTTTGCAGAAACAGGCAACTATACCTGCGAATTCTGTGGCAAGCAGTACAAGTACTACACACCATACCAGGAACACGTGGCCCTTCATGCACCAATCAGTGAGTATCCAGCTGTGACACGGAAGCAGGGGAGAGCCTGGGATCCAGGATCTTTCAAGGCAGAGGCTGGACAGGCAGAGGCCAAATGTGCAACCCAAGTGATCATGAGAGACAGACCAGGACTAGCATATCTTCCTGATAGCTATACTTTTGGGATATATTTTAAGAAAAGGAGTTGTTCTTATTTCAGGCCAGATTACCTATAATTAAGAGTTAATACTATTCTATAAATGAAATTACACCTGTATCTTGCAGCTTACACATTTTTTACAATGTAGATTTTTCAGCTGGACTGCTTATGGCTTATATAACGTGTTGTAGCTGTTTCTCTCAGTAAACTGAAATATTCAAAAGTGGGGGAACCCCATCTGCTTACTTGGTAGCCCTCAAGGTATTCTTTGCAGGGCTGGTCCCTCTGCAGGGGTTCCCAGAAAAGTGGCTGAGCTGACTGCCCCCTCTCCTCCACCATCACCTCTCCATGGATGCAACCCAGGGTGCTTTGCCCTCTGGATCTCCAGCTGCAGACTTGACACACCTGCTAGAATTTTGCTTTCAATGTGACCGGTCGAAAGCCCCAGAGGTAGGACAGGAAGGCATCCTTCAGCTCAAGCATCTAGCTCTCATTGCCCCAGGCAGTACGTAGCCCCAGGCACAACTGATCACTTCCAACCCCTTTTCAGTCTAATGAGGTTGGTGGCCATCACCTCACCCAACAAGCAAATTCTGCACGTTGACGTTAATTTCCTTAGGGAAGACTTTCTTTGGCCTGTCCTGAACTGTTGGGGCCACTGTTTTGAAAGGGAGAAGGGCATCTTCCCCTTCATGTCTGCACCTCAGCACGTTGCCCCTTTTCTAGCCTGAATTGCCCGGCCTTGTAATCTGGGGATTTTTTGGGCAAGCGCTACCTTCACAGGCTTCTTACGTGGATCGGTGGTTTCAAATTCAATTCCTCCTTTGGTCTTCTTACATTGTGGAGAAGATCGCCTGTAGCCTTCCAGAGCCAACTAATCAGGGAGATGGATGGCATATAAATGCAATAAATAAATAGTTACTTGCCTTGATTGAGACTCACTTGATAGAGTTTATTGTGCCCATCGGTTCCTCATCCCAAGCCATTCCAGGTGGACTTTTGGAGGTTGACCACCTCCTGCCTGGCCTCGAGGTCCTCATTAGCTCTCTTGACCAACGGCCATGGACAGACCTGTTGGATTTCGTTATTGGCAAAGGATGTGAAGAAGCCTCTTCTTCCTCTAGTCCTACGATGTCTATCAGGCTTTCTGGGTTACCCTAGTGCAAGTAGAGGGAGAGCAGCTTTGTGCTCTGTTCTCTGTGTAGTTTTTTTTCCTGAACAGCCCCCCCCCCTCCATTGGATCCCCTTCCCCCAAAGTACAGTCCAGGTGTTGTCAGTGGCACTTTAGGATTGCAGGCAAGGCTCCCCCCTCCCCCAATTTTCCTAATGGTTGCAATGTCAGATTGGTGCAAAGCCTTTGCTGGAGCCCTGATGTTCAGCAGCAGGAGGGATGGGAGAGGCAGCAGTGACTGGGCTGGCTGCCCTCCTCACTTGCTCTGCTCTTCCGCCTTGCAAAAGGCAGGCATTCTAGGCAGTGTGTCCCAAAATAGGGGGGGGGGAGTGTTGTTGCATTGTTTACACTGATACTTTCCACCCAGTCTATGGTTTGAAGGAATTAGGGCATCTCCCGTAGCTTCTTAAAAATAAAGAACAAATACTATCACAAGGCGAATTTGTATTTGTCTTTTATTTATGGTTTCTTTGGGAGGGGACTTATGATGCAATGGGTAAGGGTCTGATTAGAATCCAGATCGCATTGCAGAGTGATTGTTCTGGGGGGAAAATTGGATGAGACAGCACTATCAATGTAGCCTTAAGATGCTGGCATAAAGGAAAGATATAAACAACTGAATAGAGTACTAAATAATATTTTGAAGTGTAGAATGTTACACATTGTATTGTTTTATTTTCATCATATGTGCGTGCCTTGATTGGAGCAATGAAAGATAGAATAATGAAATGAAAATGTTCCTGTGTGCTTGCCTTCTATGCTAGCTCTTATTTAGATGTGGCAATAAATGGAGACTTTTCCTGTAAGTTCCTAATTATACATCCAGATATTTAAATTTCAGGCAAACAGAATTAAAGATTTGGTTCAGACAAACTGTAGGAAAGGTAGATGGATGACAGACAGACAGACAGCTAGAAACTGATTTCCATCATATTGGGTTGTGAGAATTCCTTGCGATTCTCCCACAATGGTCTTCCTCCTCCCCAGTTCAGGTGTCTGATTGATGGGACCTCAAAGGACTGAGTTGGCACAGAGAAAGTTGTTGTTTTCTAGATGAGGACGGAGAGAAGCCAGATTTTTTAGGATTTCCATGGTTTGGACAAAACTCAGCAGCACTTTTTCGTGCGGCTGCTGATAAAAACAGGATCGCCAACATGATCGCCAACGTCCGATAGCGGATATGGCACAAGACGAAGAAGAAAGAAATCTAATTCTTTGTGGTCAACTGTATATTGAAGATGAATGTGCATAGATTTGAATTGGATGGTTTCGAACAAAAACACTTTCTTTAGTTCTTTTTGTGATTGTACATCACAGCAAGCCCATGTCTCAAGATAACATTCCCTTTGTGAGAGAGACCTCTTGTCAGGTGCGATGTTGTGTACTTTTCTACTAAAAGCGGTGCCTTTAGGCAGCTGTTTTAGCATAGTAAGAACGTGTTTAATTTCTTTATTTTACCAGTTAATTAACACGTAGGCTGGTATGGTAGGTTTTGAGCTTCTTGAACAGCGGAAGGTGAGAGAGCCCCCCCACAAAGGGTGCCTGCCCCCCTTTGCCAGAATGTCTTGTGGGGATCAGGCAGGGCCTCTGCAGGTGACATTAAAGCTGACCAAAATTGGAGAAGCCAGAAATTCAAACCCCTTGTGTCATGCTTGAAAATTTATAGCTGGGGGGGGGGGCTGCATTGGGGCTCAGTTTCTGAAAGGCTTTGGGTAGGGGGAGCATGGACCTCTTGTAGAGAGGGGGAAGTGCCCCGGCAGAGGTAGGTTTTGGGCACTGACTTGTCTATCCTGGCACTAGTTCTGAGTGTTCATATCCAGAGTACTCTCGATCTCCACTCTTCGTGGCTGTGAAGACCCAGGCGAACCAATCGGGCAAAAAAACACCGACGGCGCCCATAATCCGGTGCTCCACCCTCCTCCACCGCACTCCCTCCGGTATCCCACCGGCAGCATCCCCGTCACAGACGTTCCGCGCTCCAAATTCTGGATCCCCAGGAAGCAAGGCCACCACAGGTACCGATTGTGCTTTCTACCATTCCAATTGATTAACACCCCCCCCCAAACTGCCTGTGTGCCCCCAGACCCCAAAGGGATGGCACCGGTGGTTCCCGAGGAAGTGTGACCCTTTATGAGGGGATCAGGGCCCCCAAGAAGCCCCCGAGGTCCCCCGAGTCCCCAGAGAGCCTGGCTGAAAACATCTTCTAGGAATACAGGCAAAGAGTGAAGAAAAAGGATCTAATTGAGTGAGGAAGATGAGTGGTAATATTTCATGAGTTTATAGAGATCTAACATTGAAGTTATTTTGATACCAACTTAGTATTATTTTTATTGGAAAAAGGGAACAAAATACTGTTGGATTTCCTTTTAGTTTAGCGTTTTGTACTTTTTCAAAATATGAACAACCTAAGAATTTGATACATCTTGAATGCCATTTTATAATGTTCAACTGAAGGCATATATTGTAGATTATGAATTTTTTTATATGTATATATTTTTTTATTGGCCTTTTTGTCTAGCTGTTTAGGAAAGGCACTATGTGCTGGTATTTAGTATTATTTCAAAAGCCTTTTTGACTCTCCGTATCCCACCAAACCTCTTCCTGAATTGGTGGCATTCGGAAGGTTTCAGAGCTTTTGGTCTTTCCTCCCATGAGTGGAATGGCAGACGGAGGGAGGGAGGACGGGGTTGGTCCTCTTCTCTGCTCCCTGGATGTGAGAGTGGGGCCCCTTGCCATTTGGGTTGAGGGCCGGGAAAGGCCTTTTCCCTTGTTCAAGATGCTCCTTCAGCGACTGGACCAGGAGGAGCAGGCAGGCTTGGGGGGGGGGGATCTCTGTGGGTTCCCCTGGTGGGCAGAGCAGAACAAAACAGAGGGAATTCTTTGTGGTACAGGGAGAGGTCGCTGTCCCTGGGATTCAAAGCCTCCTCCTCTCTTGGCTGGTAAGAGATTGAGATGGGTGAGAGCCTCTCTCAGCGTGCTGAGATGGAACAAATGTCAGCTCCAGAAGCTGCCTGGGCTCTGGACTCTTCCCACCTCGCTGCTGCTGAGCCTCCTGCGCTGGATCACGGCAGGCCTCTCAGCTGGCTAACCGGGTGCTTTCTGGAAATGCCTGCCCTTCTGCAGGGAGTTCTGGGCTACTTTCAAAGGAGGTGGCCTTGGGGAAACCTAGGGAAGGAGCAGGCTGGGGGGGGGGGCAGCCACATTTCCCTGGGAAGGAGAGAGAAGGAGGCAACATCGTGGGTGGTGGGCAGTCCTACAGGGGAAGGGGTGTCTGGACGGACAGTAATTATACCAGAGAAGCCCCGAATATCCCCAAGCACCTGGTGCCTTAAATGCGAACCGGAGCAATAAAGAGAGGGTCACCTGCTGCACCTCCTGACTGTAGCCTTGGGATGCTGCAAGCTGAGCATGGGACTGAGACAGCAGGTAATGGTGCACCTCACCGCCTTGTGAGCACTGGGATGTAAGTTTGTTTTGGAAGAAGAGTGAGTATCCTGGGCAGCCTTTGCTGAGGGGCCCCTCTTGCTTGTTCCTGCAGCCTCACCCGGAGTGAGCGTTGCCTTGGGAAGGGTTGTGAGCAAACGCTTTTGAGCCTCCTGATTTGTCTGATTAGCCATTCCTGTAGCCTACTTGCTTTGAAGAACACTCAGCTCTGTGGCAATTCCTTCCGCTTGCTCAATTTCACAATTGCCTTAAAAGAGACCCGCTTCCTTTGGCCTCCTGGAGCCATCGCTAGTTTGGTCCCTAGAACACGTGATCTTAAAACGCTAGGAGACGCTTTGCTCTCAATGCAGCCCCTCCCCATCTGTGGCAATTCACTACGTGAGGAAGACTCTGGTATGACGATGTCACAGCAATACTTGGTGCGTTTGTGGACAGGCAGGTGATTTGGGCTGGTTGAGATACTCAAATTATTTAAAAGATTTCTTCTATGTCCAGCTGAGTGTGAACCAAATGTTTCCAGAAATGCCTACTTCCTTGGGGTGGGCGGGTGAAGGGGGGGGGGATGGCTTCTGCCTGCTTTTGTGCCTAGGACACGATTATGAATTGCATCAAACTGCAGTCCAGTGTTTCTTCCTCAGGACTGAGAGAACATTTAAATATTTACCTGTTTAATTTTATTATACTTTTAATCCTCTCAATAATGAGAATCACCTGGATTTATGGCAAACTGAACAAATTGAGATATACTACAAAAGCAGAGTACAACGTTGATTTGCAATGAAGCCCAGGCTGCAGCGGGTTGGGATGGGACGGTCTCCGTGTCTGGCCAGAGCCAGCAGGTCTGCACCGTTTGGGCTGTGTGTTTCCAGAGAGCACAACTGCACAAGCAGTTCAGGGTTGCTTATGTGGGCTGTGCCGCTCGTGAAGGTAAAGCAGGGTTGGGGTAGTGATGCGCAGTGTTTACCAGGTTGTTCAAGTAGAAAAACGGTGAACAGAGAATGAAAAACATTTTTTTAAAATCTATTATTGTTTTATTTTCAGTAAAATTGCACAAATTGCACGTTGTTGTAAAATGATAGGCCATCATTTCATTTGCATCTGAAGTTGGTTCAGGCTACCCAAGTAGGGTTTCTCCACTGATCCTTGCATTTGGCATAATGTCTTTAGCAGCCCAAGAGAGAACCTTCTCTGCTTTTCCTGCCCCCCCCCCCCCGACGGGTCTGCTCGGGATCGATGCTCACCAGCCCCTCTCTGTCTTTCCTTATTCTCCCACCCAGCAGAAAGCGCTTTCAGTCGAAGAGTGGAAAGCAAACTGCAAAACAACTATGAAGAAACGAACAGCAGCTCCCAGAACTCCAGTGGTGAGTAACAGCGTTGTGCAGTGTTGCAAATGCGCCCTTTCCCCCCCAGGACAAGCAGAGAGGAGGATCTGGGTCTGGACTTAAAGGACAACAGGTGGTCAAGGAGGGACATGCCTAGTTCCTTGGTGTTTCCTGCCCCTGTCAGTTGGGGTGTGAAGGACTTTCTCTCTTTCTTGATCTGGCCAACTGCCAGCTCTGTGGCTTAATTAAACTTGGATGCTGCCAACTCTCAATGACTCTGAGCAGCTCACTATTATTAAAAGAGATGTCAATAAAATCAACGCAACATAAAAAATAAAGATAAAATACAGCAACCTAGATGAGGGGTCTTCAGATTACCTTTCCGAAGGCCTGGGTGAAGAACCAGATCTTCACAGCTCTTCTAAAAACAGCAGAATGGGGGTCCTCCAGATCTTGGGAACAACCTCATTCCAGAGGGCCCGTGCGTAGAAAAAAGCACAGTGGAAGGCTTTGTGTCTGTTGCAGCGGGGGAGGGGAGGTCCTACTTTGTGGGTCTGTCTCAGGTTTGGGTTATGGCTGAATCAGACTGTAGTCTCTCCGGCTGGAGATGTTCTATAGAAGGGTCTAAGTGTGCATGTGGAGACGCCTTGATCGTGTGGCGTTGGCTGGTGGGCCCTCTGGCTGATAATGGTAACCTGTGCATGTTCTGCGAATTGGAGAGAAGCCAATTAGGAAATGGGAGAGAAGCCTGGTAGAAACTTTTGGTGGTGGGGGGGGGGAGAAAATGGCATCTCCTTGTGAGGGAGAGAGAAGAAGTGGCCCTGCAGCCTGCCATACACATATAACACAGAATAACAGAGTTGGAAGGGACCTTGGAGGTCATCTAGTCCAATTCCCGTTAGACTCCCAAAACCATTAGAACAAAGCCAGTTCTTTCATAACAAACTCTTCTGATCCATTTGCAATAGACTGTGGTTAGCAGTGGTGCTTGAAATAAAGTGACATATGATCTGATCTCACTAAAGGGAATTCTGATATTTTTAATTAATTAAACTAGTTATATTTTCTCATCAATAAGGTCTAGGGATCAGATCATGGCTTCCTTGTTTATAAACGGCATATACTCAGAAAAAACTGTTCTGTCAAAAGCATGAGTGTTGCGAAGAGAAAAGTCTCTTTAGAAACAGAAGCGTCTCCAGCTCAGCTCTCTGACAGAAGCGGGATGCACTCGGACATCACGGGAGGAATTGCAGGAAAGATGGGACTGTCCAGCGGTGAAGCCTCACCTGCATTTTTATTGCATTTCTGGGAATCACCTGCGCTGAGACCTCTTCTCATTGGACTGTTAGTGGTGGAGAAAGCGGCTGTGAGAGAGAAGAAAATCTTTTAAATTGATTTGTTAACTAAATTCTGCAACCTTAGATTTAAATTTTCTAAGAAATTAGAAACCATCTTTTTATGTGGCCGTCTTTTTTGAGTTTCAAGTGATTTCTCAAAAACAGCTGTAATGTGAGTTAGAGGTGAAATACATTAACTGGACCCTTTTTTGTTAAATGTACACAAATTTGGTGTGCACTTCGCACATGTCTGAGCAACATCTGTATTATTTTCTCTTGGTGCTGTACATCTGGATCATCTTATTTTTTTAATCAAGAAATCATAAAGTAGGTGAGCAGTGACTCATGACCCCCAAACGTGCAGGTGGAGATGAGGAAGACTTAGAGGACGGTCTTTCTGCCTGGTGTGGGCACTCTGCCTCCCTTGAGGATGCACCCCTGTTTATAATGTGGGGAAGAAGGCAGAGACGGCAGCCAAAAACTCCTTTGTCCCAGAGGGGGAGGCCGTAGGGAAGTGAAGAACAGGGAAAGGCATGGTGATGGTTGTGCTTTTTGGCTCGTACAGCTTGGTCGATGGTTTTCAAAAGTTCCTGCAGCACAGCGCTCAGTTCCCGTCTCTCTGCGCCTGGTGCTTTGGCTTCAAGGGCACAGAGTCGGCACACCCGCTCCCTTTCATGAACCAAGGAGGCCCAGTGACCTTGAGATCCTGGGTGCCACTGGTGTCTTTATGGAAGGAAGCTTTCGCTGCAGCAACTTCCATTACTCAGTTGGCCCCCGAGAGCTGAGTGTCCACTTTGCATCCCGTCTTTGAAAGGTCAGGAAAGAGCAGCCACAACAGATGAGGCTGAGATGGTTCATGCTGCTTTCTAGCAGGACACCTGTGATGCATGCAGAGGGCCTTTGTTGCTACCGAGGGACAAATAGACACTTCCCAAATGATATGCGGGACAGGAAGGTGACAGTCAGACACTCCTTTCTGGAATGCAGATTCAAATGGGGACATAATGGAACTTGATATACGCTATCCATCTACTCTGTTCAGTTTTGTAGTCCTCTGCATTAGGAGAAGCCTCTTCAAATGCAGAATAGTCTCTTGCTTGGCTGCGGGAGATCTTCGGGCATGGAGCAGACGTCTCAGCAGCTTTGTTGCCCTCCACAGTAGTAACGATGCTGTCCATAGCATTAAGCAGAAGACAGCAGCTTGCCTGGCTTGGTAAGAAGGCTGTGTTTCTTCACAGTGAATGTGTGACACAGTTGTGCAATTTGCTGGCCCAAGTGGTGTGTTGTGGCCGTTGGCTTAGGGCTTTGGATCCAGTAGACCAAGGTGGCCTAGTTGGGGCCTTTTTTACACATTTGTCAAAGATTCTTGGCAGAGTTCTTTGAAAAAAACTGCTTAGAGTCATCTGAATCACGAGACAGGGGCAAATAAATTTGATAACATAAAATCAGTCGCTTCCTATAAAGTGCACAGTTCCTTATTACTCCTAGGTCCCCAGTGTTGTGCTTGCATTACTCATGGGGTGACTTGGGGCTGGCAGGCTGTTAGGGCTGCTGTACCTGCTGCTTGACCAGAGCATGTAGAACAGCCCCCCAAAAGCTGCTCAGTGGCAGTCTTGGAGTGACTAACCCTTGGCCAGGCTGGCAGCCATACCCTCTGCAAGGCCTGGGGCTGCCCCGTCCCCTTTTGTAGGTTTTGCCCCAGTCCCCAAATGAGGAATCAGCAGGGGAGACGGGAGGGGCTCACCTTGGTTTCAATGTCTGCATCTCTTTTCTTTTTTGCAGAAACGGCCAGTCCTCTGGTTTCAAATCCTTTACCGCTTTTGCAAAGTAAGTGCAATGGATGTCTTAAATCACCCCTTCCCCACCCAATGGCCACCAGAGCCTTTGGCCAATTCAGGTCATTTCAGCTTAAGTCAATGGTTCAGCTCAAACGTTTTTTTAGCATCAGCAGCCTTGACTGATCAGAGCTCTCTCTTGGGGTCAGCAATGTCCACTCTGCCCCTCTCTGTTCAGCCACGGGCTTCCAGGTCTGGCCTCTCCCATTCCGCTCAGAAGCAGTGGACTCTGGGCAGCAGTGGGGCCGCCTCCCAAGAGGCTGCGTTGCCCCCTGCGGTCTGCGCTTGAATGGGGCCAGCCTTTCGCCAGCATTGTTTGGGGGACGCTATGCGAAGGAAGTCGTGCTAGTTGGCAGGAGGTCCTGTGGCAGAGAGTCGGAAGCGTAGTCTGGATCCGCTGCTGATCGGCACCTTTTTGCCCTGCCTGCCAGCCTTCTGTTGGGCTGGGATCCGCTTTGGAAAAGGTTGCCTGATGCTTTAGCTGGGAGGTCCTCAGAGGCAGATGCCCATCTTGCCACAAGGATGATCTCTTATGCAGCTGGACAGCGGTCATAAATGGACAGAAGGTTCAGGGGCAAGGTTGGTGTCAGAGGATTGGAAGAAGTGTCATCTTGGGGCTCTGCTCTGTGCTCACCTGCAGATCAGACGTTGCGTTCTCCCCTCTGGGTTTGTCCCGTTTTACCCCATGAGGACTTACACTTGTTGATCAGATTTAGGTGCTGTCAATCTTAACCGTGGATACAATTGTTCCCCTTAATATAGCCTCGGTTGGCATTTTAGCGCTAAGTCTTTGCAGTTTATCTTAAGGACTTACTAAGTCCTAAATCTTTTTCATTCTAATTATAGTCTGATTATTACTCTCTTGTGTTGGGCATTTTTTTACCCCTCTGCATAATGCTTTAGATTTTAAGTCTGTTGGAGTTGTTTTCTCTTATTCTTACTGTGGTTTCCTTGGCATACGTCACCTTTACAGAATAGGAAAAATGGCAGAAATATTACAATCATGATCCAGATAATAGAAGACTGGCCCAGGAAGAAATGCCTAAGCATAAAATGGCAGGTAGAAGGGGACTGTGCACAATTGCATTGAGTTGACTGCTTTTGGTGCAGAAATAACCAGAGCTCTAGGTGGATTTAAAAGAAGGCTTAGCCACCCACGGAGGAGGAGACATCAGGCCAAAACCTAGAGACAACATGCTGGTTGGGGGCCAGCATCAGGACTCACTGTCTGACTTGAGGAAATGCCGCACTCAGTGGGTTTTTGGCATGATTCAGTATGGCTTCCGGAAGAGTACATGGGGATGCCCTAAAGGTGTTTGGGGGGTTTTTTGTGCTTGGGGGGGGGGAGGCGACTGGACTTGTACAGTTTCCTTTTGAAGAAAAAAAGCACCTTTGGGACAACCATGACATGCATGACTGAGAACCTCCATAGACACGCAGAGGGAGACACTTCTCAGTTTTGGGAATTTGGGTTTGAGGTGGGGGCAGAAGGAAGCTGGAGACCTTGCTGTGCTCTGGCCAAGCGAGAGGCTTCTTTCCCCCTTACTCTGTTAGTAGTTAAGGATGGTCTCCCTCTCTTCCTCTCTCCCCCTCCTGCATGGGGCTCCTCTCTGCACTGAGTGGGCATCGTCCACATGTTTTAGATGCTGACTCTCCTGGTCATGCTGGGCAGTGGCCAGCCAGGTTGTGGGACTTGTATCATTAACACCTGGAGGATCCTTAATTAACTAGTATTAATTTTGATCCTGATTTGCATCTCTGTTATCTTGAATATAGTCTGTTGCTGTTCAGTTGACCAGCGCCCAGTCCTCTTAATGCTCCTTCTTGGCCTCCTCCTTTCAGAGCCATACACCTGTGGTGCCTGTGGCATTCAGTTCCAGTTCTACAACAATCTCCTTGAGCACATGCAGTCCCACGCAGGTAAGCCTCTTGGTTGCTCCAAACGCCTCTAAGGAAGAGCGCCAGGCCCACAGGAAATCTGCAGTTTGGTAGAATGGTCTGTGCCAATGTTGGTCTCTCTCCTCTGAAAACCTGTGCTTCCCCTTTCCACAACCGAGGATGATATCTTAGCAATTGTCCTCTTGTCCAGCAGTGAATGTTGCCAACAAACAGATGAAGGCCAAGATTAGAAGCTTTTAATAACCTGTCAGAAGCTCCCAACCTTTGATGGAGGGACATAGTTGAGATTTGATAAAAAGAGATGATCCTGACTATTTTAGGAAATGTGCAGTCAATACAGCAGGAGGGTGGCAGGGAAGCTTAGGACTGAACGGTTGCTAATTGGCAGAGATTGGGATAAATGCCATTTCAAAGCGCAGGGCAAGCCTTGGAAATGTCAGGATGCCATCATTAGCAGCATATTGGAATGTGGGGTGGAAATTGAAACTTGTAGTTGCCCCCTCCTTTTGACTTCAAGCAAGCATAGTAAACTCTGACTGGGAAAGCACAAGACAAGCCAGTCTATCTACATCTTTGAGGGGGAAATTGTAGAGGGAAGCCCAAGGCTTGCTAGGGGAACCAAAAGATCATGATGGGGAACAATGATGAGCAAACTGGGGCCCCGGGGAGTTCAGCAAGGCTACTTCCAAAGCAAGTGAATTTGGACCATCAAGAGAGGCTTATCCACTCTGTTTCTGTGTGGCTCTGAAGTAAAACGGCAATCTGTATGCGATTCTGCAGGGTGTGGTGTAAGGATTTTGGCCTCTCCCTTCAATGCATCTGATCTCTCAGGATAAGTGTGCAATTTTCACCAGCATTACACTATGTGGTTGAACTGCAGTTTAGTGTGCATTGCCACTATGGACAACTCAAATTTCAAGGAAAGGCAGCAAAAATTATAAGTCTTGTCTATGCTGGAATACGTGGCACATGGTGGTGCTCTCCTGTGTTACAGATCTTTGCCAAGACCCACTTTTCTTCCCTGGGGCCCACCCTGGATCTCCCCTTTTGCAGGGGAGTATGGGCAGATGTGCATCTGCGTGGCTGTAGTTGCCCTCGGCCTGGTGAAAGGCAGCTTCCAGCATTGCGTTGTGGGAGCTGCCCAGGGAAGCAGAGGCCATTGGCTGCTGCTGGACTTCGTGACTTGGGGAGGTGTTGGCAATTGTGTGACTTGGGAAGCCTGCATTGTTGACTTGCTACTCCCTGAGACAGAATCAGTGCAGTCACTTCCTGTCTGTGCCTCTTGGCCCCTCAGCTGACAATGAAAACAACCAGCCCAGGTCACCTCCAGCTCTGGTGGAAGAGAAATGGAAGCCGCAGCCACAGAGGAACAACTCCAACAACAGTATGTGTACTATGGGAGAACCAGTCAAGCAGGAGGAAATGGGCCAGCTGGTTCCTGGGGTCCCCCCCCCCAAATAGCATCATGCCATACCCCAAGGAATCATCATTTTCATGGATGGGTCTCTTCGTGGCCTCCCAGACAAGGCTCCCAGGGTCCCTCCTCCTCTATGTAGGCCAACGGGGACCACAGCAAGCGGAGGGCACAGACAGGTGCCCCGATTCTCTCTCAGTCTAAAGGGAGCACGAGACCCCCTCTTTATGCAAAGGATTTCCTTCTGTGCTCCTGGCTCCGAAGTTCAGAATGCGAGACCAAAAGGCCTCAGCTGCTGCCAGGGCTGAGAGCAGAGGTGTCTCCAGTCATTCTCCCCTTTGGCCAGTTGGTGCCCTTGTGGGTGGGTATTGCACGCATGCCACTCTTTCTTGGTGTCTTGCGATGGGGGTGGTAGGGGATAATGACACAGTCTGGAGAAGGTTGTCTTTAAAGTTCTAGAAGGAGGAAGAAGGTGATTTAAAAATGCCTAATAAAGAACTGCAGTTAAGGCAGAATATTTGTAATAGATGTGGGGGTTTATTGGAAAAACAACTACATCCTCTCCAATGGAATATTTCTTTTTTCATGCCAGAGGCAGGGGAGGTATGTTTGCTAATCACAAGTGCATGTCACTGCTTTAAACAAAAAATTCCATAGCTTTTAGTAGCGAATAATTATAATTGATTTGCACTCCTCAAATCTCATTGCCTGTTGAAAATCTTTTTTTCTTCCTCGTCTGCAGCGACAGCTGGTAGCTCTCTCCCGAACAGCCCCATCCCCGAGAAGGAGCGACAGAACATAGCCGAGAGGCTGCTGAGGGTGATGTGCGCTGATCTGGGGACACTGAGTGTGGTGAGCGGCAAAGAGTTTGTTAAACTGGCACAAAGTCTGGTTGACAACGGTGCTCGCTATGGCGCCTTCTCTGTTACGGAGATCCTTGGCAACTTCAACACGCTAGCCCTCAAGCACTTGCCCCGGATGTACAACCAGGTGAAAGTGAAGGTCACCTGTGCTCTTGGCAGCAATGCCTGCTTGGGCATTGGCGTCACCTGTCACTCGCAGAGCGTTGGCCCCGATTCCTGCTATATTCTGACTGCGTACCAGGCAGAAGGCAGCTGCATCAAGAGTTACGTCCTGGGGATCAAAGGAGTGGACGTTCGCGATAACGGGGACTTGGTCCACCAGTGGGTGCAAAACGTGCTTTCCGAGTTTGTTATGTCTGAGATCCGGACCGTGTACGTCACAGACTGCAAGGTGAATTCCTCTGCATTTTCCAAGGCGGGCATGTGTTTGCGTTGCTCTGCGTGTGCCTTGACCTCCGTGGTGCAGAGCGTGCTTAACAAGCGCACCCTCCAAGCACGCAACATGCACGAGGTCATTGAGCTGCTGAATGTCTGCGAGGACCTGGCGGGCTCTGCAGGGATCTCCAAAGAGACCTTTGGCTCCCTGGAGGAGACCTCTCCTCCCCCCTGCTGGAACTCCATTACGGACTCTCTGCTGCTTGTCCACGAACGCTACGAGCAGATCTGCGAGTTTTATAGCCGGGCCAAGAAGCTAAACCTTATCCAGAACCTCAACAAGCACCTGCTGAGCAACCTAGCAGCCATCCTGGCTCCGGTGAAACATGCCGTGATTGAACTGAGCAACGAGAGCCGGCCCACGTTGCAGTTGGTGCTGCCTACCTACGTGAAACTGGAGAAACTCTTCACCTCAAAGGCCAACGACGCAGGCATTGTCAGCAAGCTGTGCCACCTTTTCCTGGAAGCCCTGAAGGAGAACTTCAAGGTGCACTCGGCCCACAAGGTGGCCATGATTCTGGACCCTCAGCAGAAACTGCGCCCAGTCCCCCCTTACCAGCATGAGGAGATCGTCGGCAAGGTGTGTGAACTGATCCACGAGGTGAAGGAATCCTGGGCCGAGGAGCCCGATTTTGAGCCTGCCTCCAAAAAGTCTCGGACCTCGAGTGAGAGTTCTCCGACTCGGGAGGAAGACCGGTCGGGCAAAAGCGAGGTCTATGACTACTTGCAAGAGCCCCTTTTCCAGGCGGCCCCTGACCTTTTCCAGTACTGGTCCTGTGTGACGCAGAAGCATACCAAGCTGGCCAGGCTGGCCTTCTGGCTCCTGGCAGTGCCCGCTGTGGGGGCCAGAAGCAACTGCGTCAACATGTGTGAACAAGCCCTCCTGATAAAGAGGCGGCGACTGCTGAGTCCTGAGGATATGAACAAGCTCATGTTCTTGAAGTCCAACATGCTTTAAAACGAGGAGGGGGGTCTGGGAGGGAGCGGCATCCTCCCAGAACATGTCCCAGCCACTCGCAAACACTGTGGACCTCATCCGGAGCGCCTGGGAAATAAAAAGTGCTTTTGATACACATATTGATACCTCTATATTAATATGTATATAAAAAGCTCCCTGGAAAGGAATGCAGGTGAGAAGCACACCTCTGCTCGAAACACGCTCCATCCTTGAGGTTTCTGTGTGAACTTGATAAAACCTCCTCACGTTTTGAAGAGGGCAGGCCGGTTAGTCTGGAGTCTTTAGGCAGCTGAGTTTCTAAATTAACTTGAATGGTTGTTTCATTAATACTCTTTTCAGAAATAACCCCTCCCTCCACCCCCAACTCCCCCTTCTGTTTTCCTTCCCCTCTTCTGAGCCCTGATGCCAGGGACGGTCAGCCTTGATTTCTGCTAGTTTTTGGCCACACTGGGTGGCTCCTCCTATGAGGGGCGTTCAAGGCTTCCTGTTGGCAACATAAATCATGTCGCATTTGCAGGCAGCTGTCTTTCAGAAACCTCCAAGTCAGGAACGGAGACTTGAAGAATTAAAAAGAAAAAAATCCAGGAGAAAAAAGCTACCTGATTTTGATACCAGTAACTTGACTTCTCTTAAGGAAAAAAAAAAAAGGGGGGGGGTGGGGAAATTAAAACCTGAAAGAATATTTTGCAGAAAAGGATACATAGCCCTCCTGTTAAAGTCCTGGCTAGCTGCTCTGTCTAAACTCCGTGGCCATTCGTGTTTTTGCAGTTGGCTTGAGAAGAGGCACAGGGAGGCATTTTGTGTCTCCTCGGGATGCCAGCGATAAAACATCAGTAGGAATCTCTTCCCTGCCAGGCGGCCGGCAACACGCCTCCTGTCCACCTCCTGACCTCCAGAGACACTTTGCTGTGTAAGAACTTTTTTGATATTCTTGTCCAGTCTCCACGTTCAGAGCAATAGTTGACTCAAGGCAGTTGTCCTTTGAGCATCTGGCTTCACTCTTACTGGCGAGGAGGTAGAAGGTAAGCGCAGAGTCGAGGTGCTGGGATTCTGCCTGGGCTGCTGGCACACCTGCTCTGGGGCCTGGTGGTTTCTCTTGGGTTGCAGCTGGGGACGGTGATGGTGGTGACATTTTGATTAGTCAGACCCAAACCGCAGGATCTGCCAGTTGGTGGCCAGTGGAGGCAGGGTGCAGTTTTGTCACACAGTTCTGTTTATCTTCAAAGTATTGTTGGCAAGAGGAGTGGAAGGGGTTTCCTAGTCTTGCCTGCTGCCCGTAGAGGTGCTCTTGGTCTCGCCAGCAGCAGAGGGAATGATGCCACTTGCGGGAGAGGGCACCCACCACCTGGCAGCCCGCAGCTGAGCCATCCCAGCGTGGCTTAGAAGAGACCCGTCCCATTTCTCTTCTCTTTAAGGCCTGCTTTCCTCCTCCTTCCAGCCAGCTGTTGGAGACCCCTGAAAGGGGCTTAGACTGTGAGGCTGCCTGTATCCAGCCCTGCTGGCCACTGGAACGGATTCCCCCCCTTAGAGCCCAGGGTGATCCACTGCTGCATTTCCTCTCCCCCCCCCCAACCCCAAGGGAAGGGTGATGGTGTGGGCTGTTTCTCTTTGGGGGCTGTCCCATTCCAGGTTGCACCTCTAAGCTTTTAATGTCTGCATAGGCCAGGCGGCGTCTCCACGAGGAGGTTACTGTGATCTATGATGAGATTTAGATTATTATAATTCTGGTCTTACTAAACTGTTTGTCATGCAGACATGTTTCTCCTGCTGGTCTCTTCATATTCCTTCCCTTCCTCCCCTGGACACGGGGGTTCCTGTGAGCATACGTTAACTCTTGGAATGCTATTACATTTAAGCAGGTAATTTAATCTCTAAGATCAATTGCTCATTCTTTTAAATCTGCCTTAGGTGTTCTCGTGGATCTGATTATTACAAATTTTCATATTTAAGAAATGCAGGCCTAACCCCATAAATATGAAGATAGGAGGATTCCATTCTGAATCTTTGGAATTCCAGAACTCTTACATTTTAATTTTTCAAACATCCACATGCGAGAGAATGAAATGCAGGACAGTTGCTCACAGGTACCACCATGCTTAGGGGTGGACAGGCATGGCCTCCCCTGTAATGGATTCTGGGATACAGTGGGAGAGAAGAGAACCTGTGGGGCGGGGAGCAGTCAGATGTACGTGGAAGCCCCTGAGTACAACTCTTAAACTAATTAGGCCTTTGTGCTAGAACAGCAACGGTGGGGATGCAAGAACTTCACAAACAACAGGAATGTCAGGGTAGGAGAATATCCGGACAATCCTTGTGCATATAGGGGAAGAAGCTGGGACAAAGCCAGAGTCCGGAGCAATGGTGTGGAAGAGTCTAAGGTTGTAACAAATTAGCTCCACTATTGCCTTTGCAAAGCTGGTTTGGGAATGGGGGGTGGGGAGTTGTTTCAGCCCCATTGCCAGCCTCTCTGACTGGAGAGGGAGCCAGGGCCCTTCTCCTAAGTCACGGTTGCAGGGCTTGGTTGGGTCCAAAACGGAGGAGCTGAGTGTCCAGAGAAAGGGGCATTGCCCACTTGCGCTCCGTCTGCTCTGGGCTTGCATGCAGCCACCAAAGCGGGCTGTGGGCAGGGCTGGTGGGCCACATCTGTGTCTCTCGCGCTGTGGCTTAGGCTCCTGTAGGCCACCCCCCGCTGCCAAGAGGGAGTCTGCCTGAACGGAAGGTGCCCATCTCTGCCTCTCAAAATAGGTGGGTCTGTGTCACCATGAAGGACTCAGGGGAGGTGGCATCGTGGCAGGTGATCCCTGAGAAGTCGTCTCCCCCTTCCTCTCACCCTCAGGCAGACAATCTCCAGGGTGATGAGTTTTTTAAGTACGTGCATTTCCTAAGATGGAAATGTGTTTGCTGAGTGATCCCTCCTACCGGAGCAATCAAGAAGCTGAAGAGCACTTACTCAGGAGTCACCCACCGTCTTTAGCACGGGGAGAGGGAGAACCTCAGTGGGCCACAGGGCAATGGCAGGGTCGAAGAGTGAAGAACTTCCTTCGGCTGCAGGAAAGGGCTCAAAGCGGTTCTTCTTGTGGGCACAGGTTCCAAGGATTAGGGAAGGCCTCCTCCTGACCCAGCGGCAGATGGGTCTGATGCCAGCTTGGACAGATGACCCCTCCTCACACTTTCTTTCTACCTCTTTGGTGTTTATTGAGAGCTTCCTCTGAATGCCAACTGCCAACTGTTGTCACAGGGAGGGGTTTAGTCTTTGGCCACTTGGTGTGTTGGTTAAAACTGCTGCAGACGTCAGCAGGAGCCAAAGCCAGCAGCAGGCAGGCAGCCTGTCGGACCCCTCCCCACTTGGGAATAGGGATGGTGGTGCGTAAAGGCCTGGCACGGGGAGGAAAGCGCCTGTGTTGGGTAGCTTGGCGTTCCTGGCAATATGAGGCGCTTCCGAGACGGCATCTTTGCTGCCTTGGACAGTTGCATAAATCTAAATGTCATCTTAAAGAAGAGATAACAGAAAAATTTAAAAAATATATACAAAAAATATTTTTAGGCCAGAGTTTTCTACAGGTATTAATGAATATTTTTCTTAATCCTCATAAGTTTTACTGTGTTTAATATTTCTTAATACCGGTAGCATTAATTTATACTTTTGTAGCGACACACTATTTTTATAAAACGCCACCACTTGGCTTGTCTTCGTGAGGGGGGGGGATTGTGTGAGGGCGATGTGCTGACCCATGTACTGTATTTAAAAAAACGAAAAGTTATCTACTGTCACGCTTGCTGTGTGTTAATAAACAAAAAGGAAACTTGCGCAGCGTTGCATCTTCTGTAACAAAAGGCTGACCGGGCACGGGTGGGGAGGGGGCAACACGGTAGAGAGCCCCGAAGGCAGAGCAGCGGGGAAAGGGCTTCCGGGTCGCGGCGTTTGCGGGTGAGGCTGGGTGGACATTAGCTGCGTCCAAACGGAGCCTCAAAGCCTGAAGCGGGAGCCGAGGGGCTTTCCTCGCCAAACACGCGGCCTGGGCTGTAAGAGCCGAGCGAGCTCGTTCTTAGCTGCGCGTGTCTGCGGCCGGAAAGGAGGAGACCCGAAGCGGCGGCCGGCCAGAAAAGAGCCCGTCCTGCCTAGGCGGGCGGGCGCGCTGCGGGCCAGGGAGGGAGCTTGCCTGCCCGGGACCGGCTCGGCCCCATCCTGTGAGCGAACTTGCGTGCGACCCTGGGGCGCGGGGGCTGCGCGGTCGCGGCGCTTTGGAGGCTGGCGGCCGAGGGGCTCGCAGGAGCGCCGCGCTGGGCCTTTCAGCGGGGCGGGGCTTCGCGGAGGAGGCGGAGGAGGAAGCCGCCGCTCCGCCCGCCCGCCCGCCCGGAGAGCCTGCCTGCTCGGAAGCGGAGCGTGCGGAGGGGCCGGCGTCCCGCGACGGTGAGAGGTTTGCGCTCGGGAAGCGGCGCGATGCAGGCTCAGCCGCCCCTGCACGGCGGCTACTTCCACCCGGTGCTTCGCTCGTGGCAGGCGGCGGCCGCCGCCCTCCACGCCCGGCATCTGGTCTACCCGATCTTCGTCTCGTAAGTGCCGCGGCGGCTCCGGCAGGCGGGGGGTGGCGGGCGGCGGCTGCGGCTGCGACCTCCCGTTGCGACGCCTTCAGCCTCCCCGGGAGCTTCCGAGGGCCGCTCGCTCCCGGAGGCGCCGAGCCAGACGGGGTCCCTGGGGCCACGGAGGCCTGGGCCTTAGGAGCGGCGCCTTCCCTCTGACGGCGCCTCCCTTCCTCGACCCTTCCAGGGATAGCCAGGATGCCGTGGAGCCGATCGCCAGCCTGCCCGGGCAAGCTCGGTAAGTCGGAGGGGGGGGGCTCCTATCCGGACCGGGGCTCCTGGCCCCAGAACCGGCCCTTGCCCGCTATTGAAGAGGCCTGCCGCTGAGCCCTCCGTCCCTCCCGGGCTTCCTCATGGGAGCGGCCGGCCCACTTTCGGGTGACTGTGAGTTGTTCGGAGGAGTGGAGTGGAGTGGGAGAGGGTCCTGGGAGAGGCCGGTCGAGAAAGGGGCATGGGAGGCAGAAGACAGTCCTGGGATTGGGGTCTGGGGGAGGAGGCATATTTTCCTGATCTCCTTCCTTGATTTTTCCTCCCTCAGAATCACCCCTTAAAGCTGCTGTTTTTTTTTGGGGGGGGGGGGTGAGAAAAAAGAGACCTTGCAAAAGAACATTTTAAAGCAGCTGTAGGCTGGAGTGTGTGTGTGTGTGTGCGCACGCATGCATGTGCACACATGCACGCCCTTTTGCCTGGACCCGAGATGGGGCTGGGCTGGGCTGAGCTGCAAGATAAAAAGGCTTTGAAGGGCTCTTCTTTCCCTTGAGAAAAAACTCTTTCTGGAGATAACAGTGTGTGGAAACCCCAGCCCAGCGCTTGGGGAGATGGCAGGGTGTGCCTGTTACTCCCTTAGCCTGCTTGTGCAAGAAACACTTGTGTCCATGTGCCTGAGCTCAGAGAAGTCACCCACCCTCTTCCTTGCCGCATCGGCTGCTGCTTTGAACCCCATTGTTACTGAAGATTAAGGCTGAGGCCATGCTGGCTGCTTCTTTGGGGACCCATGTGAAAAGCAAAATTTCTCTTTTAATTTAAATTTTAAAATGGTTGAAATCTGTAGGGAACCAAAGTTGGGTAGATCATGTTCTATAGTGCTAGAGATCGTATCTCTTTTCTTTTAATTTTTGGGAACCCTATGAGGAGAGCTGGAATTGGCCAGCCCAGTCTGCCATGCCTTCCCCCCCCCACCCCAAAAAATCTTCACAGATACCAGCATGTCCTACACAATCTCTGGGTTCCAACCCCTTGGCTTGACCCATTTGGCTCTTTCGGGTCTGCCTCCCTTTCCTAACCCTAACCCTGCTGAACTCACAACTGACTCTCTCCCCACAGGCACGGGGTCAACAAGCTGGAAGAGCTGCTCAGCCCCCTGGTGGCTGACGGGCTGACGTGCGTGCTGATCTTTGGCGTCCCAAGCCGGGCCATGAAGGTGTGCTTCTGAGCTGCGGTTGAGCCAGGGCTACTGGGCGGAGGGTCTTGCTTCTAGGCAGGCAGGTGGGCAGTTGCTTCTCCCTCTCTGCTGCACAGGATGAGCGCGGCTCTGCAGCCGATGCCAAAGACACGCCTGTCATCCAGGCCATACAGATGATCCGCTCCTTGTTCCCCGAGCTGCTGATTGCGTGTGATGTCTGCTTGTGCCCTTATACCTCGCATGGGCACTGTGGTGAGTGCTGCCGGGCTTGGAAAGGACGAGAGGCCTGATTTTCAGAGGTTCAGATGGCTTCATAGCTGGCGTAGGCAATCAGCCCCTGTGCCGTCTTCTCCTTTTGGATCTTGGGCCAGTGGCGCAGAGGGCCTGCGAAGGCAGGGGGACTAGTAACACTTTCCTTGCCTTGCAGGTCTCCTTCGGCAGGACGGCTCCCTTCAGAATGAGGCCAGCTGCCGGAGACTGGCTGAGGTGGCCCTGGCCTACGCCAAGGCAGGTGAGGCGCTCGCTCTCTGGGCTGCAGGGCATTTCTGGGGCAGCTGCTGGGAGCAGGCTGGTGGCTGCTTAGCTGAAGTGGGGCTGGACCTCCGCCAATACTCAGGCCCCCGCCCGGGGACACACTCAGCCCCGTTCTCCCTCCCTCGAGGAAGCCCAGTCAGAGAAGCTGCCACCCTTGCCAGTTCACACCTCCTGTCACCCTCCCTCAGGCTGCCACATCGTGGCCCCCTCGGACATGATGGATGGGCGCATCCACGCAATCAAGGAAGCCTTGCTTGCCAATGACCTGGGCAATAAGGTAGGTGTGAGGGACCAGCAGGCTCCGAACAAGTGTGGCCAGGAGCCTCCTTCATCAGTTGCTGAAACACATGGATCCAGTCCCGAGTCCAAGTGCAGAGCTGCCTTCAGAAGCTCTGCAAGTCCAGCCTTCCAGGTTCTGAACAGCAACACGGTGTGGGTGTGTGCGTGCGCGTGCGTGCGCGGTGAAGGGCACTTGGGGGGAGGGTGCTCAGGATCCGGAGAAATGTGCATGTTGGCTGTGCTGTCCCTGCAGGTGTCGGTCCTGAGCTACAGTGCCAAATTTGCTTCCTGCTTCTATGGCCCTTTCAGGTGAGGGTGGCCGGGGCTGTCTGTGGTCGGGAAAGGGGATCCCCGTGACCAAAGGCTCACGCAGCCGAGCAGCCATCAGAGGCCTTGATGGGCCCCTCTGGTGTCTGGGGAGCAAAAGGAGGTCACTTTATTTCTTCTGGTTCATGTAGAGACGCGGCCTTATCCAAGCCCGCCTTTGGGGACCGGCGGTGCTACCAGCTTCCTCCAGGATCTCGAGGGTTGGCTCTGCGGGCAGCGGTGAGTGGCTACCTGGGCTTTCAGAGCAAATGGGCCCCGCGGGGGCTGCGGACAGTTCACCAAGGCTTTCCTCTTCCAGGCCATGCTTAGCAGGGGGCAGGGGGGCACATATTCTGGAGGCCTGGGAACTCTTGCAAAGAAAGGCAGAAGCTCCCTGAGGAGTTGCTGCTGGGGCTGGCCCAGTTAGACCAGCTTCTTGCTACCCTGCCGGCTGTGTCAAGGGCAGCGATACCCTCCCGCCTCTTAGCCAGACCTTGAGCTTTAGCCTGGCAGCTTCTGTTATTTTCTAACACGTTCTCTGCCCTGGAGTTGTTTTGCTTTATGCAATCGCTTTTAGTTTAACTGCCCTTGTAAATTGCAATTTTCAAGCAATTTTTAATTTATCTTTGGGGTGCCCTATTTTGAGAAGGCAAAAGAAAGAATCCGGGGGGGGGGGGGCAGGAGTCTGCAGCTGAATGTCTGTTGCGGCAGAGACGGTTGTCTTTTCCTGCCCATGCTCGTGGCCTCCCTGGCCCAGGAAGGGGAGGGAAGGAGGCTGGCTGGCTGGCCCCACTGGCAAGCTTCCACTGGGGCCTTAGGCAAGGCAGGCTATTTTCCGCAAGGGATCAGGTGAAAGTCTGTTTGCAGATCAGAGAAGTCAGCATGTGAGATGATTCATCTTTTGCCCTATCTTTAAAGGACTGTTGGCTTTTGCTGTTGGGGAACAGACAAGGCCCCCACGACCACAGACAAGAGAATGTGTATTGCTGTGTGTTGTCCAGAGGAGAGGGCAGACAAGGCAAGGCTGGCCACTTGCAGGCTTTAGCCTAAAAAACAAGCTCTCTGTGTGTGTTTATGTGTGTTCTGGCAGAGCCAGGTCAGGACTTGGAAGTTCAGGAATGTGAACGATGCTGTTCTCCCTGTCTGCTTGATTGCCCATTGAGCAAGGCCTTGGATTTGGCTCCTGTCTGTCCCGTGAAGTGGTTCTGCTACACTTCCTCCCCACGTGACCTCCCTCTGCTGTATTTCTCCCTCTCCAGGACCGGGATGTGCAGGAGGGGGCAGACATACTGATGGTAAAGCCTGGGATGCCCTACCTTGACCTTGTGCGGGAAGTGAAGGACAAAGTAAGCTCCCCCTTTCCCCTGCCCTGGGAGCGGGCAGTAGTGGGTGCCTGGCCCCCCTCCCCCTGCTGAGAAACGTGTGTGTTTCCCCAGCACCCCAGCCACCCCCTGGCTGTCTACCATGTCTCGGGAGAGTTTGCCATGCTGTGGCATGGGGCACAGGCCGGAGCCTTTGACCTGAAGGCAGCAGTGATGGAGGCCATGACCGGGTTCAGACGAGCAGGTGAGCGAGGGGAGAGGAGCAATCAGGGCTGCCTCTGCCAACGCTGTCCCTCTGCAAAGTGGAGCCCAAAGCCAGTGCCCAGCATTGTGGGGGGGGGAGGGGAGGACGCTGCGGGTGCCAAGAAGGCCGAAGGACCAGTTGGATTCCTGGGAGAATAACACCAACAAGCTGCCTTGGCTGTGGAGGATGGTCCTTCCCTGGAGGAGCAAATGGGCCAGTTTCCTGCTCAGGCCGAATCAGCTGTGAAGCGGCTTCTACGAAAAAAGGCTTTGGACCACAGGCATGTTTGTGCCGATTCATTTTGGAAACGCTTCTCTTGCAGGAGCCGATGTCGTCATCACCTACTACACGCCTCAGCTTCTGCGATGGCTGAAAGAAGGGCAGGTGTGAAGAGGCTCCCTGGTCTGGCGAGCAGGAGGGAAGCAGGAGACATGATGGAAAGCACTGGGTGGCCGAAGGCGGGAAGCTGGGAGGTTTTTTTCTTTTACAGCTTTTAGAAGAGCTCGCTTCAAAATTTGTGTCTTGTAAAGAAATTTGGCTGCTGAAATTTGTTGTAACAAATTTTCCTGATCCCTGCCGATACTTTCTTTAAAAACAAACATTTGCCTTTTAAAATACTGCTACAATGTTATTACGTGGATTTTGTCTATGCTGGTTAGTGGCAAAATATCCAGAGACACGTATTGACTGAAAAGCCGTCGGGGAACATTTAGCCAGAGGGCTGCTGTGTAGTCGCAGAGGGCCTTGTGAGCCACAGGGAAGCCGATCCTCTGCCAGAAGGAAGAAAGAGGAAAGACGTTTTTCTAAAAACAAACAAACAAACAAAACCTTGTAAGCTTTTAAGCCACTCTGTATCCTCCCCAAGGGGATTTTTTTTCACCTGCAGTCTCAGTCTGAGGCTCTGGTGTCTCAGTTTGCCTTTCAAATCCACTTAAGTAAAACCTTTTAAAAGAAATGATCTCATAATCCTCTTAACTGACAGGAGTAGAAGAGGAGTTTCTCCACCCACACGGCCTAGAGAGGAAGGAAAAGAGCTACTGCCCGATCGGTCCTGTCCTCGCCAACTTGGTTGGCCTTGGAAAGGTTCATTCAACTGGCCTTTGACAGACAATCCATGGAAGACTTCAGAGGCTTCCTAGATCATGGAAGCCCGTGCATTTGGTCTCGGCTTAGCGTGAGGCGTACACTAGGCCGGTGCAGCAGATTCAGTAAACCACGAATTCCCACTTGGCCTGTTCTTCTGTTCATGCAAGCTGCCGCCCTTGCTGCTGCTGGGCCGGCCTCCTCGCCTGCGCCCTTGAGGCCAGACCCTTCTGCTTCCTGGGATGCAGTGCCTTTCTGTCTCCTAGCAGGTGGGTTCTTTTGCTCTGCTTTGCTTTGCTCTTCTTTCCTCAACCCATTTTTTGCTACTTTCATCTCCTGCCTTCTCTGTAAATCTATGTGAAAGCTGATGAGAAGTAAAGTTTTAGTATTTACTAAGAAAAAAATATAGTTATATGCATAGTCATCTGCTGCTGCTGTAGATGGAGAAATAAATCCGTGGAGCCAGTGTGAGAGGTCGGGCTTTGGGCTTTGTGGAAATGGGGTTGCTGAGTTGGTGGAAGGATCTGAAGAGAGACAGGACCAGCTCTTTTCAGGGGAGAAAGAAGCGGCTGTATCATAGGTCCCCCTGATGTCGATTCTGCACCCCCAGGTGCTGGTGGAGGGCTAAGTCCATGGTAGGGTTGACTCTCAAGGGGCTGCTGAAGACAATTCATGGGCGCTAGGACTGGAGCAGTGCGATTCCTCTGGACCAGAGCAAAGAATGTATTTAGTGGGGTCTATGTTGTGGCTTCTCTCTTGATTTTGTAAATTAAATAATTGCGGATAAATATTGCACTCCCTCTTGTTATATAATGGTTACCGAAATTCACGGTCACCTTTTAAGTTTGGGGTATCATTTCAGTGAGGCAAAATTGGTGAGGAAGAAGTCCTGATGACGCAAACCACCCCCCCTTGAGCATCGGCCAACCTCCAACTAGCCCTCAGTTGGGGCAACGGGAGGGAGCATGCAGTGCAGAGACCCCCAAAGCCACTTTCCATCGGACAGCGCACCCTGATGCAGGGAGACAAACCAGCTACACACAAAGGGCCAGGAGTTGTGCATACAATCTTATGGGAAAAGGTGGAAGAGGAAATCCAATTGGTTTTGCAGCCCTGGGCTGCTCCTGCTGAAGGCCTGCCTTCAGTCTGCATTTGTTTGCCCCAACTGGTTTCGCTGCCTATTAAGTGCAGGAATGAATCCGAAAAGGAGATAACGGGATCTGCGGGCTCGGATAAGAAATGCTAAACAAAGTGGCTGGATTTTGGCAGTTGCCTCTAGGGAAGGAAACTGCAATTTTAACAAATCTCAACATAAACCCAAAGTAAGTTCAATAAATCCTATGTATATCCCTGCTCATAAGAGGCCACAGCATCTACAGCCAGATGTCTTGTCTTTAGGTTGGGGTCAGGGCAAGGCCAGGGCAAGGGGCCTTCAAATTTAGCCAATAGGAAATTACAGTTGCAGCCCGATACAAAATTTGGGGAATCAAAGAGATTCTAACAAGCAGACAAAACATCCACACAATTTCCGCCAGAGCTTCAAAAGCCACAATGCAGCAGAAAAGCTTTTCAGAGTTTGCCCATTCCAGGTTACGGACATAATATACGGTTGTGATCGGTTTGTGAAAGAATGCTGGATGTTGTTTTTCACGCAAGCTTTCAGTCCCAGCTCTTCTCCAAGCAACCCAACACGTCCTGGCGATATAGGAGGGGAGGCCACCTGTTTTGATAAGGGGTCCTAGTGTGTCAAAGAAGGAACAGTAGGCACAAAAGGAAATTAAACCTTTTAATGTAATTTTAAGATTATTCTGCATCTACAGAAACTCTCATTAACTCGGTTTAAGATTTTTGAAGCAGGATTCCTCCCCTCATCCATTCTTGGGGCCGGAAAATAGCAGCCACCCAAAGAAATCAACCTTTTTAATGGCATTTTAAGGTTATTGTTCTTTCTCAATAAAACCTTATTAATATTAGGCCATCCTAGGGTTTCTTAACTAGTTTTAAGGCTTTTGAAGCAGATTTCTTCTTCTGCGCCTGCGTTGCAGCAAATGGGCCTCCCCTGGCCCTATTAATAAGGTGTTAATACCGTTAATAAAGGTAGAGAATACTGTCATTTTAAAATGCCATTAAAAAGGGTTTATTTCTTTGGGTGGCCGCAATACCCATTTTTGACGCCGGGAGGGCACAGTTTTCTGTCCCATAGCTTTGGCTTGGAGTCCATCCTAGGCCTTTTTAATGGCCTCCATCCTATAGCTCAGGCAGGGGTAAGGCAACTTTGGCTCTTTGATGACTGGTGGACTTCAACTCCCAGAATTCCTGAGCCAGCCCTGCTAAGGGACGGAAAACTGGTCAAATCAGATACTGCGGCCAGAAAAATAAATAAACCTCTTTAAGATGATTATTCTTGATTATTAAAAACTTATTAATATGAATAAGCCACGATAGGCCTTAACTCGGTTTAAGATTGGAACCAGGATTTCTTCTGCGCCCGTGTCGCACCGGCCGGGCCCCCCGTCGCCACGTAAATATTAATAATAAGGCTTTAAGAATAAAAATAGAGAAGAATAAGCTTCAAATGGTGTTAAAAAGTATTTATTTCTTTGGGCGGCAGCAGTACCCGTTTTTGACCACAGGAGGGCAGAGTTTCCCGTCCCATAGCCTTAACAGGGAGGCCGTCGTAGGCCTTTTGCCCAGGATCGGGACACGGAGAAGCTAAGCCGCAAAGCGCAGAGCGTCAGCCAAAGGGTCGCCACTCTAGGCTCCTCCGAAAGGGACGGGCCGCTTCCCTCGGCCTTCTGCGCATGTCGGCCGGCTGGCTCTTGACGAGTAATTCTGAGAGAGGGCCTCTCTGGACGGCGGGCTTCCTGTCCGTCGGTAGCGGCGGTCCCAGGTGCAGCCGGCAAAACGACTTCCGTCCCTTCGTTCTTAATCTCCACCTACTCCTTTCGGGTAGACCTCTCAATATGGCCGGAATTACGTCGCTCAAATTCAGCCCGTCCTCCAGGGGGTCTTTGAAATGAGACCTTCCAATATCGGCGCGAGATTCCGGTCCGTCCTTCTTAAGTCATCCTTCCAATCCTTTTTTTCCGGGGGACCCTCCTGGGCAGGGCGGACTCGACGTCCGACCAACGAGGTAAGGACTTGAAAACACATTCAAAAGGCTATTTCCCTTGGCGGCCGCAATACCCGGCCCATAGCATTTACCATCGAGGCCACCGTAGGCCTTTTCCACGGCCTCAATGCCGCTATCGCTAAGGGAGGGGAAACAGTGCCCTCCCGTGGCCAAGCCGGGTATAGCAGCCACCGAAAGAAATAAACCTTTGAAAATGGCAACAGGGCCTCCCGTCGCCCTATTAATATTAATAAGAGGTTACTAATAGAGACGGGGGAAAAATAAATAGCCTTAAAATCCCATTTAAAAGCTTTATTTTTTTCGGCGACCGCAGTACCCGTTTTTGACCACGGGGGGCACAGTTTTCCGTCCCGTAGCATGACCACCGACGACGACGTTCCCAGCACGGCCGAGTTCATGTCCATCCGCCGAATTCGTCCCCGACTTCCTGTCCGTTCGCAGCACGGTTCCCTGCTTTTTCCCGGGCTCTTTTCTGCACTACGTGGACGGAGCGCACGTCTCCCGGCGAGGCCTCGGGAAGGAAAAAAAGGAAGCCTGCTACTGCCTCAGGTGAGCCGAGGCTGCCAAGCAAGGCAGCCGTTGAATGGTGTTTTCCCAGCGCCCGAGTCCCGGATGTAGAAGAACCAGTCGTATCGCGCTTCCCTGTGTTACACCTTAAGAGGTTGCTCCTAAAAGTGCACCCCGCTCGCCCCCTTCAAGCAAATCCAGGTGTTTTTATTCAAGAATAGTTTTGTTTGTCCTGCCCTGCTATTTCTTTAAGGAGATCGTACGTATGTAGGTTTGTATTTAGGTTTGATGTTTCTCAACTATCTTTCTTAGAGATCCCTATGTATTAATATAGGTGCAATATCAAATCTCTTATTTGAAATTGTGTGCATTTTTATTAAGAAACGATCAATATAAAAATAAATGCAGTTTATTTTGAAAATGTGTATAACCTATCGTTCCCTTCTAGGTTTATCTTTTAAAGGATTGATAAAAGGGATGAGACGTGAGAAGCTGCACCTAATGGCTTTTATTATTTTGTTCGCCGTCCATCTAACTTTGTAGACCTTCGTCCAAAACAAGTCAGGGTTAGGAAGGGTAGGAGATTCCTTCCTTTCCTTCCCAGGTTGCCGTAAACAGCCCACCCACCGCCCCGAGGTAAGAGAAAGGAAAAGCAGGTCTCTCTGGGGCAGCAGGAGACCCGGGTCTTCTGCAGAGTCCGGTCTTGCAATTCTTTTGCTAACTTCCCCCAGTCACAGCTGCATCGACTGATGTAGCGGCCAGGAGGAAGGGTGGGGACGCCTGCCGGCTGAAAGCTTCATCCTTTTTGGAAGAGGCAGTGGAGAAAGGAGGTCACGCTCCCTGGATTTCCAGCCTAGAGCCTCCGCCGGATGGGTGACCCCCCCCCCCTTGCTGTGGCTGTGAAGAAGGAACGGGGGGAGGGGGGGGAAACAGGTAAGTTTCCCCCTTTTTTTTCCACTTTCAGTGAGGTTAAGGCTTTTCCTGTTAAAGAAACAGGGATGGAAATGGAGTAAGGTTGGGAGCCCAGTAAAAACCCCAAGAGGAAGCGGGAAACAGGGTGGGAGGTTGCGATGGCCACCGCTCCTCTCAATATTGCAGTTTTTGGTGGGAAGTAGCGGGAGGGACCTCTCCAAGGGCCTACCCACTAGCAGAGCTTGGCAGTTCTTTGCTTCATTCTTTGCTCTAACCAAGAATAAAATAAACTCCAAATTGGATAGCAGTCCGTATGTTCT